GAGCATGTCGGGCCCTGCAACATTGAACTAGTGTTTTGATAAGATACAAAAATGTTAAGTAACAAACTCTAACCATGGAGTGTAGGTACGTTTATAAACAAGGAACGTTTTAATCAAACTAAAATATTTTAGACTGAAACTAAGATAATCTTCTCTCCATAACGAAACAAGATAGTTTTGATCGAACGAAACTATTTTAGATCGAAGCTGTAGGATCGTTTTCACTCCATCGCTATTTTGATCATGTCTGATCCATGTGATTTTTGTTTTGTTTGCAATTTTAACTTTTGATTTTCATAACCAACGGCCTCCAGATTTTGAATGTCTATTCATTTTTTTCATCATTACTGTCGTAATCGATTTGGCGAATAGCGTTTGGACTAATGTGTGTGAGAGAGACTTGTGCTTTATATTTAATTTGTAGTTTGGAACTGTACAATTAATAACATTTAGACTTAAACTGTAAGTTTAGTTTTTATTTCTAGCTGATTAGATCTGGGTATAGAACCCAGGGGCTACTTCATTCTGTTTTTGTTTTTTTCATCGGTCAAAATGGAAACATTTAGACTTGGCTCGTCAGTTCACTTTTCTCTATGCTTCTATAATGCATTAATCTATGTATATCATATTCCTAATCCGGTAAGGCTTGTTACTGGTTTCTGCTACCTGCATCAGATACAATCAGCGTGATTTCGTCTTTTATAGTTGTCTTTTTTTCACCATCTGTAGCCCACAATATTCTTAATCCATCGAATGTTACTGATATTATTTTCAAGATCTTGACATTCGAATATGGAGGATTTCATACATAAATCTTTGTCATCTTTACTGGTTAGCTTGACTTTCAACTGTTAATGTGCAGGTGCATTAGAGGTAATAAGGACGTGTTTTGAAACGCTTATATTTCAAGACCCGCTGTTAATCACCTATATGATCTCGTTATTAGACACTGGGTGATGGCTGATGTCATTTGAGCACGTGCGTTCAGCACATCCTTTTCCTTACCATTATGAAGATACTTTCCTTTGTAAATATTGATCCAAATTTATCGATTTCAGAGCTAAGTTGGACAGTGATACAAAGATTAAAGTTGCAGATGTAGTCACTCATAAAACCGTGTGTTTGACTAACACGAACGCTTGATAATGAAATGTCACACACCTCAACGTCATTGACTCGTGAATTAGACAAAAACAATATATATGAGTCCTCAAAACTCCGTAAAGATAGGTTATTGACTCGTGAAAGATAAAATACATTTGATTGGTGGGGAAAACTTTAATTCTGTCCGAGGCTCAGCAAAAATACAGGGCTTAAAAAGTCAAAAATTGAGTTTCGATCCCCGCTGTGGGCAGAGCGCAGGCACCCCGTAGTGGCTCAACGGTAAGTTTGCAGGCTTTCGACGTCAAAAATTGAATTTCAATACCAGTGGTGGACAGAGTACAGATAGCCCATTGTGCAGCTTTGAACTTAACAACAACAACAACAAAAACGTATAAAAAACTTGACTTACAGTCGTAATGGAACAACTCAAAATCCCAAAGTATAGACGGCAGCTTTCAAGGACAAACTTAAGAGTTTTTTTGTTTTTTTCTCTCATTTTCGGAACAAAATGTGAACCATTAAAAGAATAATGTGTATATTGTGTTTATTTTTAGCTTAAGAACCTCGATTCGTCCGAAGTGGAAGATAAAATTGAAACGAGAGAAGAAATAACACAAATGCCACCGTACGACGAGATATACAGCCAATGGTCCGGATGGTCACGTTGTTCTAGAAAATGCAAGCAGGAACGTATTCGCACGTGTATCTCTCCTCTCCATTGTGGGGCCAGAATTCTGAAAGAAGTAAAGCCTTGCAGAGGACGACGATGCAAGAAAAATCCCATCGTAATTCCAGAAACAGAGGAAATCCGGCAGACCGAAGAAGGACCCTCCCAGTTTCGAGTTCTGTATCACCTACAGAGCTACGTGTACTCGGATTGGTCTGAATGGTCACCTTGCACACGGTCTTGTAAGACTCGTCGCTACCGCGCCTGCAAGATGTCGCTAGTGTGCGGAACTAGTGTAATCCAGGAGGATGCTCTGTGCTACGTAGAAGGAACACTCTGTGAAAAGTTGTATCGCAAGACAGAAAGGGATGACAAGGAGGAACACATTGAAGCTGAAGAGCTAGGTAGGATTTGTTGATTTTCAGGATTTTTACTCTATACAACACTAGATAACAGTGTTTTATTGATCTACAACACGTGTTTGTTTTTTTGTCAACATTCAACGTAATATAAGAAGCAAAGAATTAAGACTGTACAGGGAGGGTAAAAAGTCTGGGCATCCCCCTCCTCAAATAAAGATAGTGTACATGAAATAAAGACTTTATTGCATATTGACACAGACTAACATAAGGTTCGATTAATAATCCAAAATGTCTGCCTTCATTTCCATGACATAGGATGACACGTCTCCATGTGTGATGTCACACCCTCTTTAATATATTAGTGGTGACCTTAGCGAAAGTTTCAACAACTTTTTTGTTTCAAAGTATCAGTTGTTTCATATCGTTCCTTTGCCACAATTATTACTATAACGCGAAAAACTAAATTGTTAACACGAGTTTTAAAGAAGGGGTGCCCAGACTTTTTGCCCTCTCTGTAGAATATCTACAAGGTCCTATAAAAATATTCTGTTTCAAATAAGCTTTTTTGTTCCAGCCTAGAATATGTATATGTTATATTTCCGTATACCTGGAAGAATGCCTTTTTGTTTTGTTTTTTTTCCATGGCAGAACGAACATGGGCCATTTTTCTGTGGTTATAAAATTATAAAAGAGTGTCTCTGGTATATGTTTAAAAAATAAATGGCCAAAGTGTATCAGAGAGACAAAGGATGTAATAGCTTGAACATAATCGTGTACGTATTGAATTAGACATGGAGTACAGTAAATATTTACTTAATTAAAGCTAATCATGTTTTTAAACTGTGTTCTTAGAATTTGAAGTGGAGAAGAGAATTTCACATTAGACATCCAGAAATGTGGAGTACCAGAAAGAAGCACCCCAGATCTGCGCATCATTGGAGGTCACGAGACTCAGAAAGGTCGCTGGCCTTGGCAGGTGAGTTAAACAATCGACATGGCATCAATGAGGAGTTAGGAAAGACTTGAGCGCCCTCTTGTATGTGTGATAAATAGTGCAGTTCGCTTAATAATAAGAATCAGTTTTAAATCGTTGTTTTAATAAAGTAAAGAAAAATGTGTTAATATCAAATAGATATTATTTTTGCGCTTTAAAAATACAATAAAGTGATCACGAAACTCGTATGATTTACCAGGGCAACGAAGCCCATTTGAAGATAACGGAGGGTTAACTTAAACATGAAGAACATAGTAGGCATGATCTACAGGCAGTGTTAAATCCAGACCTTTCCACCGGGAGGATGTAAAGCTGAGGGAATGAATTAAAATACGACAAAATGGAAAATAATGTACTTTAATTAAAATACTTGACTCCACAAATTTACAATGATGTTTTACATTATTATTGATTATGATATTTAAATGTCATTTCTACGAATTTGCATCACGATTTTCACTCGGTTATTGACGTCTCTCTCTGTAAAAAAGGGGAAAAAAAGTTAAAATATTTCGAGGGAGGGGAATTTTTGCACAAGGGGAATCATCCCCCCCGAATCCATCACTATCTACAGAGCTAATTTAAATATAGGAAACAGAGTAGGCATGTTCTACAGGGGTTTTGACTAACCAAGTCTATTTAAATCTTAAATTAATACTTTTTATCTTTAACGCCAGTAAGTGTAAAAAAAACAACTAATTTAGTAAAATCACCCATTTTCAAAGGAGACTCCAGTTAGATTTACTGTAACATAGTTTGAGGGTCGCGGTTCTCCCACGCCCCATCGTGCTCATAAGTTGTTGCTTTGGAGCACCGTCTACTGAGCCCATGAAATTTCGGGTTTACGATGTTACTCTTTGAATGCTGTACAATCGCCGTACAAAGATAAGACAGGAATTATACCATACACCATTTTTTTCGTCATTAAGTTGTCTTACTATTATACGTCATTATATTGTGGAAATGTTTTCGGAGGAATATGATTGTAGTGAACGAAATAGCACGTTGTAAAATCCAATTCAATCGTGGTAGGTAATTAGGTTTAATAACCCAGAGGTGGTCAGAAATTAAAGTTTTCTCTTCGCTCATTTCATGGATTGTTGATAGTTTTAGAGATCGTTTGTTTGTTTGTAATTAAACACAAAGCTACACAATGGGCTATATGTGCTCTGCCCACTACGGGTATCGAAACCCGGTTTCTAGCATTGTAAGTCCGCAGACATATCGCTGTGCCACTGGGGGGGGGGCTTGTTTGTTTCAATTTAAGCACAAAGCTACATAATGGGCTATCTGTGCTCTGTCTACCACGGGTATCGAAACCCGGTTTCTAGCATTGTAAGTCCGTAGACATACCGCTGTGCCACTGGGGGGGGGGGGGGGCTTGTTTGTTTCAATTTAAGCACAAAGCTACACAATGGGCTATCTGTGCTCTGTCTACCACGGGTATCGAAACCTGGTCTCTAGCATTGTAAGTCCGCAGACATAATGCTGTGCTACTGGGGGACTTTAGAGTTTGTAGTACAGCGAATATTTACCGCTATTAAATAAATGCGATCGCAGCGTCACTTTTATATAATACGCTAATAGCGATTGAGTTGCGAACTATGACAGCATGTGTGTATATATACCAGGTTATCGATGTTATTGATGTAAATATTTATGCAAGTAACATCAATTGAATGAAAGTAACAACTACTTTGTTTTCATTTATGCGTTTAACTAAATTGAAACACTCTATATTCAGCATTTATCAATTTGTCCTAACAGTGAAAAGGATATTAGTTTAATACAATATCGTTAATTGTTCTATTAAAAAAATCAACTCTCTCTCTCTCTCTCTCAGATTTAGTGTTTGCAAAAAATTTAAAGCTCCAGTACGACGAATAATGTTATTTATTTTGAACATTAGGTGGCAGTGCTGAACAAATACCTTGAGCCCTTCTGTGGAGGAACGTTGCTCACGCCTCAGTGGATATTAACTGCAGCACACTGTGTTAGGAGACGTTTGTACGTGCGTGCAGGAGAACACGACTTGATAGACGCGGAGGATTCCGAACAAGAAGTTCGTGTTGCGGATTCTTTTGTGCATCCCAACTATGACATCGAAACAGTGAACAACGACATAGCTTTGCTCAGGCTTCGTCATCCTTTAAGGATGGACTCCTATGTCCAGCCCGTCTGTCTGCCCAGTTCTGAAAGTGAACTTCACGTACATGCAATGGCTACTATTTTAGGCTGGGGTAAAAGACGAAAGGCCGCCATGTTTGGAACGGATGTATTGCACGAGGCACAGATCCCTATAGTTAATACAGAAGATTGTCGTAAAGTATATGAGGACTATTACATCAGCGACAACATGCTTTGTGCAGGATACGAACGGGGGCGGGTAGACTCGTGCGCAGGCGACAGTGGCGGCCCCTTATTATATGAAGTAAATGGGAAATGGGAAATTTACGGAATTACTAGTTTCGGCGAGGGGTGTGGAAGGAAGGGAAAGTACGGTATTTACACTAATGTAGTGAAGTTTGTGAAATGGATAAAAAAAACAATAATTCTTAATACCTGATAGTGAAAGACTCGAAAAAAGTTTCATATAGTTTGTATATACAATAAATTATGATAACTGTGTTGGTGAAAAACGTATTTTCCGGTTAATGACACGAAATAACCTCAGTCAAAAGGCAATAAATATTCAATCAAGAGCTCATGTGGAAGAAAGTTTCCTTTGCAATGCACAAACTGATCTCTTTCTGCTCAGGAGCATCGTTTATTGATCCATGTTGAGTCTATTGTATATTATTTCGAGTTTATTTTTTTTGTATTAGATATAATGTATAAAATTATTTATGAAATAAAATACATTGTGTATAAACATCGTATAAATTTACACGAGCTCTAAGTTGTTTCTAAATATGTATCGTAAGCAGTACGATCCATTAAGGACTGACCAGATCAATATATAACTTAATAATAGACAGCGATGTGTAATAGAAAATAGACCAAACAAAAGAAACATCGTTGGTTTAATGACTTTTAAAGAATAAACATCGTTAGATTAACCACCTATAGATGGCACCATTATTGGTTCAACTATCTGTAGATGGCGTCATTATTTGTTCAACTATCTGTAGATGGCGTCATTATTGGTTCAACTATCTGTAAACGGCGTCATTATTGGTTCAACTATGTGTAGACGACGTCATTATTGGTTCAACTATCTGTAGACGGCGTCATTATTTGTTCAACTATCTGTAGATGGCGTCATTATTGGTTCAACTATCTGTAGACTGCATCATTATTGGTTCAACTATCTGTAGACGGCGTCATTATTGGTTCAACTATATGTAGACGGCGTCATTATTGGTTCAACTATCTGTAGACGGCGTCATTATTGGTTCAACAACCACTTGTGGATGGCATGATTATTGGTTTATCCGTTTAACATAAAATATTACTGATTTAACCTACGGTTAAATTTCTCCACCAAGTCTCTGAGCTCAAATGCTATTGCCTGTTTAAATTAAGACGAATTTGAAGTTAAACTGTAATTACAGTTGTATGTACAGTCATAAAAATTATCATCAGTAAAAATACTAAGTTAGTTGGTGATGACCCAGTCTATCGAAACTGGGATTTGTTTTATAAAAGAGAGTATGATATTTTTAAGCCTGTTTTCTGGAGAAAAATTAAACACGCTCACAATTGTATTGAATCAAGGATACATTTTTAAACTTTTTTTTTTATCTTGTCGTAGCTCATTATTATCAATATTTTACGTTTGATCAAAAGCGTAGTTTTGTAAACTACGCATTTTCTAATCCAAAAGGTCAAGGTTATTTGGTAAATGAGAACGTAAAGTGTAAGTTAACAATTCCATTAAAATGTATTTGATTATGCCAACATTCCAGCTCTACTCTTTATCATTCACCAACAAGGTAAAAGGAAGAAAACCAGGTTTTTATTACAATAAATCATCTCTTCATGTACACTTTCAGCTGTGATTGCTGTATGTCGTCATTCTTAACAATGTGGAGTGTTTTAACGCGTTTAGAAGGTGAAATAACAACCACAACTGACTAATGCTTCGAATATAGTAACCTCAACTAACCAGTGTGCTTAGAATAGCAACTACAACTAACCAGAGGGTGTTTAGAATAGTAACTACAACTAATCAGTGTATGTTTAGAATAACAACTACAATTAACCAGTGTATGTTTCGAATAGCAACTACAACTAACCAGTGTATGTTTAGAATAGCAACTACAACTAACCAGTGTATGTTTAGAATAACAACTACAGCTAACCAGCATACGTTTAGAACAGCAATCACAGCATACCAGTGTATGCTCAGAATAGAAACCACAAATAACCAGTGTATGCCCATATAGTCGTTTTATCTCTCTGATTTCCTGTGTTCACTAATTTTTGAAGGCTGAAAGTCCTCTTGAAGAAAGAACTTTAATGTATATGGCTTAATTAACTATTGCTATTACACGATAGTTATAAGGCTTAATTAACTATTGCTATTACACGATAGCTACATGGCTTAATTAATCATTGCTATTACACGATAGTTATATGGCTTAATTAACTATTGCTATTACACGACAGTTACAAGGCTTAATTAACTATTGCTATTACACGATAGTTATAAGGCTTAATTAACTATTGCTATTACACGATAGCTACATGGCTTAATTAAATATTGCTATTACACGATAGTTATATGGCTTAATTAAATATTGCTATTACACGATAGTTATATGGCTTAATTAAATATTGCTATTACACGATAGTTATATGACTTAATTAACTGTTGCTATTACACGATAGTTATATGGCTTAATTAACTATTGCTATTACATGATAGTTATAAACAAAAATAC